GAAGTACCAACATTAACCAAACAAACCATCAGAAAGAAGCATGAACAACCTCTTGACAAATCCCAATAGAATGATGAAGATAAGGCCAGTGGCAAATTTGTATTACCTTGAAGATGAGTTTACTTCCCTCCTTGATGAAAATGATGAAGAATATTTTATAGTCCACTCAACAGCTTGCCGAAGCTTTTTCTGTTTCATGTGTTCAAAGTATAGTGAGATTTTAGCTATTGGTGTAATGTAAAATAGTAAAAACCAGCAAAAATAATATACTAAAAGCTCAATAACGACACTAAGAATCAAAGTCCAAGAATCTGAATAGTGCAGGCTATAGAAAATTATCTTATAAATTGTCTAGTAATTTGCCTTATAACAATAGATCTAACAATTTGTACTTTGAACACTTTAAATATAATTTTTGTAGGATTCAAATGATTTGTTTGTTAGAAAATCTTTGAAGTATTTAAAAGCGAGAAAAAATATATTCTGTGATGGAAGCATTACAATTTGATGTATAAACAATTTGTATGTCTAAAAATGGCCCAAAATGTGCCTTGTTGATGTAGTAACTGCATATAAAGTCCTTGAAGGATTTAAAGTGTCAGAAGAATGATTCATTCTCTAAAACTATTTGTTCAATCAAATTGTGAATATCATTATATAGATTAAAACAATTCGGGCGTGTATGGTATAATCGTCTTAGGAAATATTTGTTGAAAGTATATTATTGCATGTACATCAAGATTTATATAATGGATTACATACTGCCACAACACTTTACCATTTACCAGTTTAAAACACAATCAACTTTTTCATCTAATATTTTACCTCCACGTCATATTATGTAATTCATTATTTATATTTTTTATGTACAAGTAGTAAAATTCTTGTTGAAAGGGGTTATAAAAATAAAGATATCTACCAATGAGTTTTCATAAAGAAAATGGTTATTTGATTTGCAATTGGTCAGTTTATGTTGATGAACCGAATGTAATATAAACTCTTAAAAAGATCAACAAAACTGCAAATTTTTTTGATAGGTAATCAAATAATTTTATTAGTCAAAGAAGAATATGCAGGAAGTGTATTATCAACTTAAACCAGAAAGAAAAGACATGAAGTTAGGTAGCCTTTCTATAGGATTACTAGTTGCGGCACCACAACACGTCCTCTATACATCTAGGTAGCATCCAATCTATATGTTGAGAAGCCAGAATATTATTCCATAGCCAACAAACATCGTCACAATGAATGAACAAGTGGTCATGCGTCTTCCCGTGACTCCTACACATATAGTACCACTCGGTTACATAGAAGCCTTTTCTTCGGAGGTTATCCATCGTTAATACATGTCCCCTGACAACTGTCCACGGTAAAAATGTCACCCATGGAGACAATTTACATTACCACACCATCTTATAGGGGAATGAACTCTCCATAGGTCCCAAAAGGGATCTAAAATAAGAGTGAACTGAAAAAATACCATTCCATGCCAACCGGGCCATCGGCTACGATCTTCATCTCCAACCCGAATTTTCACATCATACAAATGGGTTAAAAGCAGTGCATACCATCCAATTCTCAATCCTGCAAACCCCTCTGAAAGGTAATATTCCAATTGTAACTCCCATTGTGGATGGCTAAAACGTCCTTCACCATAGCAAATGACACCATAGTTATGCGATGCAATGAAGGAAACCTCACCTTTAGCGGTATATCTCAACACCAACAGTCATCCCAAAAACTAATACTATTACCATTCCCCACCACAAAAGTCAACGTGTCCCGAACGTCACTCCAATCTCGTCCAATATATCTCCACAAGCTCACCCCATAAGGCCTACCACCTTCACCCTAGCACCAACTCCCCTCCATCACTCCATACTTTACCCCAATGATTTTTCTCCAGAAGCTCTCCCTTTCCACTCCAAACTGCCACAGCCATTTACCCAATAATGCCTTGTTAAACAAAATGAGTATCCTCAATCCGAGGCCCCCATCCTCATAGGAGAGCAAACAGCATCCCAATTGACCAAATGAAGTTTTCTCTCCTCTCCCAACCCTGCCCATAGAAATTCCTTTTGAATCCTCTCTAATCTATTTGCCACTGGAATAGGAATCGGAAACAGTGACAAAAAATAAGTAGACTTAATGAGAGTAAGACAGCCTCCCTTCGAGAGATACATACGATTCCACAACGCTAACCTCATTTCCACCTTTTCCAAGATAGTGTTCCAAATATTAATACTTTTAAACCACGCCCCTAAAGGGAGTCCTAGATATGACATAGGTAATTGCCCCACCCTACAACCCAAAATAACAGCTAGTTCCTCCACGTTAGTGACTTCTCTTACTGGAATAACCTCAGATTTCCCAAATTTATCTTCAATCCAGACACCGCTTCGAAGCAAATGAGTAACCATCATAAGTTCCTGAATTGCTCCTCATTTGCATCACATAAAATTAGTGTGTCATCTGTAAATAACAAGTGGGACACCTGCAGTTGACAAACCGTAAAACCCTTTATCAAATTCTCCCGCCTCGCTTTCTCGAGCATCCTACTGAAGGCCTCCATTACAATCACAAACAGCATTGTAGACAATGGATCCCCTTTGCTTAACACTCTGCTGCTCCGAAAATAACCCCCAGGGGTACCATTGACCAAAACAGAGAATGAAACAGTAGAGATACAGAATTGAATCCACTTAC